TTGGAAAGCGTTTTCGGCGCTCGCAACTGCATAAGATCATACGTGCGCACGGGACACATTTAACATTTTCAGTTGGTAGGAAATAACAAATGTTTGACAGGAAAAAAGGAGCAAACCACGAAAGACCACCCACCAACCACCCACTAAGCACAGTTTGAAACTTACCATGTTCGACATTGAGGCACTAGAACTGTGGTTAGAAGAGGAAGACTTTGAAGGAGAGCTGGTCCGGTCGCCACCGACCATCATCCGCCTAGTGGTGGGGCTACCGTCCCGAGCGACACTGGGCGTGTAGCCATGGCGAGAGGTTCCGTCGGGCCGGTCTCCGTCCAGACCAGCGGACGCAAGGCTAAAAATATCATCGTTGTTGTTGTTGTCTCTGTACATGCTGTTCCTCGAGGACGTGTTGGAGTAATGTCCTCCTGGGGGACAGGAAAACAACCCTTGATACGTGACATGCTGTTCATTTTACCAAAACTCACCAAATAATCATATTCCTTGTTTGTTTTAGTAGAGGTACTATAGCGCTCGCAACTGCATAGCGTCACATGAGCGCCATCATATTTCTTAAGAAATAACACTGTGATATGTTGCTCAATTCACCAAAGCTCACCAAATAATCATATTTCTCAAGAAAACAATGCTATGATATGTTGTTCATTCCACTAAAGCTCACCTAGTTTTGTTGAGCCACTTTTAAAAATAGTCATACTTTTTAAGAAAACAATGCTACAATATGTTGTTCATTCCACTTGAGCTCACCTAGTTTTGGTCAACCACTTTTGAAAATAACCATATTTCTTTACAGTCTCAGACTGCAAACCAAACGCAGTAGCAAAAAGTAAAAATATATTAAATTAAATCAAATTAAATTAAACTAAACCCAAAAAAATTTGATAGCTTTCAGAGCATCTTAAGAAATATCTCGGCAAGTTAAAATTCCCATTTTCTTTTGTCAGTCTCAAAAAAAAATTTCATGAAAAGATGAAAAGATGAAAAGATTATTACTAATATGAATATAATGTAATATCTTACATTTTAAGTTGAAAAGAACCAGTCCAGCCAATATTCCAGCCTGTGAATCCATCAGTGAACCCGACAAGATTTTTGGGCATATGGAGTTATTAATATTATCTTAAACTCATTCATTTGTCTTGCATTTGGTGAAAAAAAAATACTCATTTATCTTGAATAGAAGTCAAGATATTTTGCGATGTAAGGAGGTGGGTGGGGGGGGGGTTCGCCTGATGGGAGAAGTAAAATAAACGGCTGCTAAAGTTTGGGGACTTCCAAAGCTTGAATATCACTGGAAGCTGAAAATTTACATTTTCTATGCCTTTAATCAACGTTTTCCTGTAACGTCCACACAGAAATGTTTTTTTAAAAGGACATAAAAGGTGTTGAGTCAAAAAAAACAAATTGTTAAAAATGCCGGCTTCTATGATTTCATTGTTTCAACGAGCGCCTGATTTCACCATCTTGCCTCTTAAATTAAATCACTGCTCAAAGGGAGTCTGTGACAAATCTGCAATTTAAAAAAAAACATTTTCCCAACAAATCCTTACCGGCTGGGGAGTAGTTCCTCTCATTGTGCACACTGCTGCCACGGTTACGACCCGAGGCGCTACCGATCCTCAGATCTGTGAGGTCCACGAGGCTGTTTGACTTGCGGGGTTGACTAGTGCCACTGAGTGGACGGCTGCCAATTTCATCGCCACCGAAGTAGGAAGTGGTTTTGGTTGTGCGGTTGGCTGGTCGGGTGGGGGTCCCGTACGCTCCTTTAGTCTCAGAAATATACCTGTATAAATGTAAAAATAAAAAGAGTCAAAAAGTTGGACTTCAGGAGATACGGCTCACAAAGAGGTGTCACCACAGAAGGAATCTGTTCATAATAAAAGCACCAAAGACTTACCAGTGAACTTGTGAACTAATCTTTTAATTTGAAATCCAAAGTACCAACGTGCACTTTTTTGGAAAACAAGATCACTTAACACTGTTAGGAACTTCGTTTTGAAGAAGCAAGCTTGTGCAATTGAAAATTGAACATCATTGCAGGCAAATCAATACCAGAAGCAAGTGCACTATCATCAGGTCACTAACAAAACATCAGTATTTCATAACATTTCAATATTATCTAAAATCCCAGGGAACCTTACTTGACTTCTATTTTTATATTTTAAGAAGCAGAACATTTACTATGCGAGTATATCTCACCTGTTTGAGGTAGCTGCGAAAGACGAGTTGTGGTCTGCCCGCAAGGGGCCAGGATGCATTGTGATGCCATTTGGGGTTCGATTCCTTCTGACGGTAGAGTTGAGAGTTGAGGAGCCAGTGTAGTTGGTCAGCTTACGTCCTGTTGCATCTAGAGGCCCTGGCCCAGCCGGAAGTGGGCGGCCACTGGACAGAGAGAAATTAAGGATGTGTGTGTGTCGTTGATAAAGATGCCGCAAAAAATTTCACTACCATAGCATTACAAAGTTTTATCTGACATTTTCAGCCATTTTGAGTTACTAAAACCATGGGGTCAGAAACCAAATGCTCTATCTGCTCTATCAAAATCATAAGATAATGCAGAGTCGTTATCAAGATATATCCAAAGTATTGCATTAAAAAAAGCTTGACACGTTATATGAAACTTTTTTTACGTCAGATTTCTCAAGACTAGGTACTGAGCAGATAGAACTTTGTAATTCTACGGTAGCAACGTAATGCCCCCCAGCTGGCACCTATGTAAACTAATTACAAGAAAGGCTGCTTCAATCCTGCCACCTAGGGTCAATCCGTGCTATGTGGGACACTACATGCACAAACCAGAAGAATTTGGAAGACAATTGATAACACATTTGCCCATCTGGGAATTCACTGAATGCAAATCTTCTGTGTCTGGGGTAAACAGCCTGAATATTATACTAATGATGTCTGTGGGAATGCAAACGATTTGATCTACAACTAAAAGGTATCTTGGACAGCAGAGGACAGACAAAAAGAGGGCACCAAAATGGCCGATAGAAACGAAGTCACGGGGAATCGAAGATGCCTTCCGAAATGACTAAACGAGTTATATTATTCTCAAAAATGAAAATCTAGAAGGATCACAAAGAAAAAACAGCTACAGATATCATTATTCCTGATAATGCACTACAAATAAGGTAGTTAGTAAAAGTGTAATAGGACAACTTTCTCAACAATTATTTCATTGTTGAACGTGACGACAGAAACAGTACGAACTCGACCTGTCACGTTTCGCATTCTAAAAATACATCAATTTCAGAACTAAAAATATTTGTAAGATTTCTTCTGATGGCCCTACTGCTATTTCTATACTCCCATAGCTGAAACATCATATCAAGCACAACATACAATTTTCAAAGCTGTAGCACCATTTTTATTGGAATAGGAAAGGATTTTGTAAGGTAATGAAGAAATCCCCACCTACTGGCAAAGGCTCAAATCACACATCTAAACCCTTGATGAAATCACAGAAAAATATCTTAATATCTTTGTCACTGTGAAGAAAACTACTATAAGAAGCTAAAAATAGTTTTTAATGACTAACTAAAAGTAAAAGAAGAATTTGGAGAGTTTGGTCTGACAGTACAGTGCTAGGAACACGGACCTGCGATACGAGGACCCAGCTGGGTAGCTATCCAGATAGGCTGTCCTGTTGGCTGAGGAGGCACGGGGGATGGAAGGTGTGCCAGAGCCATACGAGGTGGTGAAGGTGGTGGACAGCCCCGTATAGCGACTGGCCGCCTGGGATACTGGCATAGTGTGCGAGACGTCGTCTAGCTCTTGTCGGCAATGAGTTTACCCATGGCTCTGGAAAGAGAAGGAAATCACTGTTTTTATCCAAATTGCTTTAAAACATGCTTAATAAATGAAAGAGGAGTAAACTCTAAGAAGTGTGGTTTTTTAGTTTTAAACACTAAATGAAATAAAAAATTTACTGAAAGTTTTTTTCGGTGCAAAATTTTTAGGAGGAAAATATCGCCAAAAGGTGGGATGGTTCTTGATGTGTATTTTAAGGGGAAACTATTCATTTAAGTCAGTAATAAAGTGGAGTGTATGAATGAAACTCGGCATCTCAGTGCAGAATCTAGTTCTGCAATCAGTTTTTTAATGTTATTATTTCTTTGGATCTTAGACTAATATTTGTGTGAAAAGCTGTTTAATTTCGTGACATCGCTTGAACTGCCATACATTGATAGGGGGCACAGACTTGCAAGGCTGGTTCAAACATTACAAAACTTCAAAAGTTTTCAACGCATCTTATGTTTAAAAACGGCTTTCGTCTTATTTTCAATTTGAACACAGAGCAGAAATTAGTTGAAATATATTACTCAAACATGTCACAGAAATGAATAACTTTATTCTTAAAGGAACCAGGGCTGTTCTCTGATCCCCCCTTGAACAACTTTGCAAAGTGGTACAGAGAAAACCCGCAATGGACTCATTGATAACCTATTTAATTTAAGGCAGCCATGCTGCTTTGCAATCATGCACCTTTCGTATGCCGACAAGCTAGCTTATTCAGTTTCTGAACCAGTTTCCAGCTCTATTCTTTATTCTTGCAAGACACAAGAGGGGCACCTGTCTGCTCAACATCCATAGAGCAGCTCATAATCTACGAGTGTTTGAAAAACGGAATAAAATCACACAATCACAGCTGCAATGTCTCAGGTTCTAGAAATCTGTCTGCAATGGACACTCACATCATGTATTAAGTTTACTCTTTTTTCTGACTCGTTGCCAAGTTTCCTTCATTTTCGTCAAGACTCAAAAGGGTTTTTTCCCCACAAACTACACATTAAGAAGAGGCCACCATTGGGTACTGCTTACTGGCGAAACCTGACGAAACCCGGCGAAATCATAAAGCGTAGGCCTGAGCAAAATTAACCCTGGAAGCATGAAGGCCATATAGGGCGTGAGCTGGGCTACCCGGTAAATGCAGACCCTATATAACAGAAGGCCGATCTACTTCAACCAAAGACTATAAATCTTTGCTTCGACCAGTAAGGGCGCAAAATAAACAAACGACATAAATTGCGGATTTATATCATCTGTTGAGCCGTAAATGGTCATTTTCAGCATGGGTATGTACATCTCCGACATCTCAACTGATATCATTCCCCGTTTGTTCACGGCACAGAATTCTACAATTTTTCTGTTATCACAGTGTAGAATTCTGTGGTTTAGGGTGAACGCAAAATTGGTTGGCCTAGATCTAGGCTATAACGGTGAACGCGCACTGGGTGAGAATAGCCAAAAGACTCGCCTGCACCGGGGTGAGAATAGAGGTGGCCAAAGTAAAAATGTATTGACATTTATGATTTAATAACATTGGTTTTAGATCACAATAGTAAAATAAATAGCCTTGCTGCCCCTAACTTACACAAAACATAAAATTAGGCCTTGCTGGATTAAAGGCCTGGATCATTTCCTTTACACTTCACTTCCCACCTTCACTAGACTACTATTTAATTTTTAAGTGGGTCATGAACAATATGAGAGGATATATGTTTGAAATGAGTTTAAATCCTCATCTAACCTACGAGATTCAAATACATCGAAGACCAAGATCTAGATAGATGTAGACTCTAGGCAGGAAAAAGACAGATCAACACTTGCTGAACTTACTCGGCAAGCATTTGACCCAGTTACTGAGTTACCCTTATTTTGTGACGATGAAGTCACAGACTTGCACTAGGCTACTTACAGACTGTCTGTATTTTAGCAGTATTATTTATGCACTAAATTGTCAGCAGCCCAAGCACGCATTTTCGTAACAATAAAAATACAGTTCACATTACAACGTTTATACACAATCAAGACGATGGCTTTGGTAAGACATTATAATTTAGGCTACAATAGCCTGCAGGTAAAACCGACACTCATTCGCATTCCTTGCACTTTTCTTACCGACTTAAATCTACCCATTGGGGCACATTCCGTTACGTGCTGGAAAGTATCAATATACACGAACACCAGAATTGAGAGTGATGGTAAAAAAAGATTAAGAACAGCAAGTATCCTGTTCATTCAGAGATACAATGGCAACTTCCATTTAAGTGACTTTGAGATCGTGTTTCATGAAGTGCAAACTTTTAGCCTCTAGACGCCATTTTCTTATGTGACGTGAAAAGTTTATTTTTAGTTTATCTCTATGGCAACCTCGTACAAACCTTTGCCAAACATAATATACTTTTGATATCTAGCTTAAAAATGATTCATTTCGAAACAAGAAATTTTGAAACTGAATTTAAAAAAACAACAGAGAATTCATTTATAAGTCCTCACAGATGAAAAAAAAATCAAATTCAAGCAAATAACCGTAGCAAAAACAGGTAATGCGGTACTTTCGTATATAAAGTATTCGGTGATGAGTGACGTAGTGCGCATACCAAGGACGCTACTTTTCGTTGTTGTCAGTGAATCAGGTAGGCTATTGTTCAGTGTTTTACTTCTTTCCATTCTTACGAGGGTTTTTTTTTTTTTTAAGTTTATTACTTAGCTGTTTCCGCGAAAGTGGACTCGGCTATTATATATCGTGGCTAGATCTAGTGCTGTCTTTTTCCACAAATAGGCTAATCAAAATGGAAAGGAGGAGAGAAAATGAAGTTACACTACTTAGACTAAGACTTAGACTAGATCTACAGTCTACAGTGTCAGTAGCCTAGGCCTAGTTAACAGCTCAAGAACTGTTTCTGGTGATCTTGTCGTTCCGCCCCCATGAAACCCCCCTACTCTTGACTTTAACGAACGAAACTGCAAAATCGCCCTGTTTCTCCTCTACTAACTAGATTCTAGATAGATCTAGAGCTAGATCTATGAGAGGCTTCTGTGCATGAAAACTAGATCTATATATCTGATCTAGATCTAGATATCTAGATTCTAGATCTATAAATTTAATAAGCCTCTCATCACATTTTCGTGATCATGTGTTGATTCAAGGATAGGAGAAACTCAAGTCTGCAACTTTAATGCATGACCCACATTGGCTTGATAAAACATACTTTCACATTCATGCTACTAGAATAGAGATCTATATATAGATCTATCTATTAAATAGTTTCGCTCAGGGTGTGTGAATATATATATGGAATTGTATGAAATTTTATTCGTACACGGTGTGTGAATACAGTCGAACCTGCCTTAACGGAAACCTGTCTTAACGGAATCTCCCCGCTCCCCCCTTAATTAAAGTTAATTTCCTCTTAAATTACCTCTATATAAAATGGAAACCTTTCCAACACGGAAACGGAAAGAAAATTAAATTATAGATTTATATTATAATAATAAGGAGGGATGTAGGGCGGAGAACTGATGAGAGGAGATGGGTGGTTACATAGGAATATAATATATGAAATTATAGTAGAATTGATGGTGGGCGGAAAGTTGTCGGATGGGAGATTAATGGAGAGAGTTGAAATTCAGGAACAGCTAAATGGAGTTGATGTTGGAGAGAGGAGGTGTAGATAGACGATTATGAAATAAGTCGATGGAGGATTTTGAGATAAAGCATTTCAGAGGAGAGAACTAGACTGGATTAAAGGAATGCAAGGGATGATAGAGATCTCGAGGTTATAAATGTGTATAGGATGGTTGATGAAAAAGAAATTTCTGAAAGTGAAGAATAAATGAAGAACAGGAGATATCAAGAAGACAATAGACACAGTTTGCATTACATTTGAGGAAATATTACAGGGGAGAAAGTATCGAAAAATAAAAATGGACGGGTGATATAAGAAAGATAGATCCAAAGAGTGCAAAATAGAGAAAGGACGGATACAACATAAAATGAATGAGAGGTGTGGGTTAAGAGACTAGAGTGACAGAGAGGAGAGAGCTGATGGAGAAGAAGAGCATAAAAATTGTGATTTGGAGGGGGGGGGGGAGCAAGAGTGAAATAATAGCACTATCATGATTTTTAAAATATAATTCCATTTTCCGGTTGTGAAATTTTCAGTGCTGCCAGTATGGAGGGCGCAAGCACAGAAGGGATGTCTGCTCAAGCGCAGCAAATCTGGGGCATGTTAGATGACATGGCTCAGAACAATCCAGCAGCCTACAGAAATTTTATTCAAAAGCAGTTGAAAGATGGGAAGGAATACATGGCTCCTCCGGAACCTCATATGTGTGTACATGTTCTTTTATTGGTGAGTGTGTTTGTGCTTTATCTTCAAAGAGTTGGTATCAACTTCTTGTAACAAAGGTACGGTAACTTTGTGAATCTCATAACTTTTGTTTCTTTCTTTAAATTTCTTTCTGGGACTTTTTTTTTCATTTCTGGAGGAATAATTTGCCTCTGTTTGATAGAAATGGATTTTTTGGACGTGTTCCACATACCTTTTTGTTTAAAAGTTTTTCATGGTGATGTGAGTAAATTCCCTAGTCTCCTGTTGGGGTAGAATCTATCTCTAAAATATTTTTAAATCTGCATTTGGAAGCAGTTTAAGATTCTTTGTGGGTGGTTGGCGGGTGCTCTGCTATGAAACATCTATCGTCCTTATAATCTCCCCTTCTTCTTTTTTATGTTTGTTACTCTCTTGTAACACCTCTAATCTTCTGGTGCTCATATGACTTTATGCAGTTGCGAGCACCAAAAAAACCTGTACTAAAACTAAACTAAGATTCTTTCACTCTTCTCCGCGCATTTAGTGCTTGAACATTGTGTTATCTGCCCACACTGGAGAAATTGAAATACTATTCAGTATAACACGGATAGCTCGAATTCGTCGGGACCATCCTCAGTAGTTTGAGGGACCCGTAGTTCAAGGGATAAAGAAGAGAGAAAAAACGGGACCGCTGCTACAGTTGGACGGAAGTGTGACTTTGAGTCTTCTGTGCTCGACCTATCAGTGTTATACTCTACTTCCCATTTGGTGCTTTGTGAGAAGGAAAAAGAATGTTGATGAAGCCCAGAACTATTTATAAACTATAGATTAATATTTAATTGATATTGCGGAGACATGATCAGGGCTATAATTTTCTTTTGTATCATTTTCTCTAGTAAATTGATAATTAACTTCGGCATGTAATGTGGAAAATACGCTTGCCCATTTATTACAACTCTTACAGAGTTTCAAACTGCTTGCAAGATCCTGTGCTCAACATCCAGTGTTACGGTGGGGGTCAAAGTGGGGTAACAGCTGTTACAAATGTCTTTCAGGAACTGGAAACAGCGCCCAACAATCGTCATGACATATGAAGACATGAGGGCTGAAATTCTCTTGTACCAATTTTCAGAAAGGCACTGCTCTAAAAACAAAAGGCTTGCATGAAAAACTCTCTCTTATTTTGCTTGTATGTTTGATTCGAATGATTACGAGTTATAATTGACTGAGATTACTTACTTAGCTTTCTTGAAAGTCGATTATTAAGCTGTATGAACTAAGAATTTATCTTCCTTATGTAGAAAGTTCACATATTATATTCTTTTTGTTCACAGACAAAGCCGAGCGCACCATTGTTCATCAATTTTTGTGCATGGAAAAGAATCCCTGAACCCAAATCCTCACAAGACCCTGTTCCTGTGACAGGGACCACTCTATCACAAGAAAAAGATAAGAAAGGTTAAACTTCACTTTTTTCTCTTTTTATTCATTTGGTTCTCTCGGTACTTACTTGTCAGTACAAAAGGCAGATTTCTGCTCAACTTTGTCTCTCCCTCTCCCCAACCTTCCCCCCCCCCCCCCAAACAAAGTCTTTTTCTTTCTCCTGGTAAAAACTTGTCTCTTTTATGTATTGTTTCTTGAGCCATAGAAACTTATAAAATGGTACAAAATACAGTCGAACCTGCCCTGACGGCCACCTCTATAAGACGGCCACCTGAACAAACGGCCACTTTCCATTTCCCCCCTTGCGTTTTTTCTATATAATTTAACTGTGTATAACGGGCACCTGTCCAACGCGGCCGCAGCCACCATATTTTAACACACAACCCCTATCACACTAAGCAATAACACCTGTCTTAGACGGCCACCTTAGTGACTCCATTACGTTTTGTCATTAATTGTACATTGACCCCTGGCGTTGTGGGCGAACCGTCATAATCTAATCACCTGTCGTTGTTGTTAGGTAGTCCCTCCAACCGATCATGTTGCATAGGCCCCTCCCACTGTTGACCAATAGGTACCAATTTCCCGCTGCTGGTGAGGGAAGCGTGTGATCCCTCATAACCCATACGCCCCGCCCAGAACTCGTACACAAATCGTAAGTGAGATGAGTAGTCACTGTTTACCCAGTCTGTAACAAAGTAACAATGGACGTCAACATGGACTTGTGACAGAAGCGTCGCTCGTTCTTCGAGTGGTGGCGACTCATGTGTTTGTTTTGCCATAGCACTCGGTCCTCCCAGTCTGACACATTTCGTTTTATTGTCACCCTTGCACAAAATCAGCAACAAAATAAAAATAACAAACAAAATACAAACCAACAACAACAACAAAAACAACAATAATGCGGCTACTTTCGATTGGGAATGGGGTTTGTTTTCTTCATCTTGATCAGTCCTGTCTAAGACGGCCACCTGTCTTATACGGCCTCTTTTCTCCTTGATATGGGTGGCCGTCTTACTCAGGTTTGACTGTACTTGTGACCTGAAAATTTGGATGAATTGAAATGTTCTACTTTCACAGTAAAGCCACAGCGTATGCAGAGCTGACCTTCTGTATGTTTTTTCCTTTCTCTTTCTTGAAAAAATACAGCGAAACAACTCCTCCAGCAGATGTTGGCATTGCGAGTACTCCTGTCAGTTTTATCTCTATTGATTATCGAATTGCTAGGGGCTCATCTTGAATGTTGACAGTTTCTAGTGGTTGGGTTTTTGGATTAACAAACTTTAGATTGCAGGTTCGAATCCCAGTCAGGGTCCAGCTTTGTGTTCTCAGGAACAGCACTTAACATTGTGTTTCTTCACTTTGACCTGGTGACAATGTTTATCCTCCGAATGGCGGTTTAAAGTCTTGTCAATTTGTTTGTATTTGAGCTCTTGTAAAGTGGCAGCTTGCACTGAAGTTTCCAGATAAGCTAAAAATATTTTGTAATGTATGTTAGGGGTATATGATTAATCGTAAAGCCCCATCAAGTGCTTTATGAATCCCGTCTCAGCAGATTATTATTATTACTGCTGTTTCATTTCTGATGTTCAGACTTAAGCCTTTTTTCTGGTGTATTATTTAATACTGTCTCACTTATATTTGTCAATAAGTGAATTAATAAACTTGAATCTTGGAATGGGTGTATAACTTTCTATGAAATTGAAACTCAAAAGTTGAAAGTGTATTCCATGACATAGACATTCATTATATCTGTTGGCCTTTGATAAGGTTTTAGGCTATATTTTCAGACTCATGATACTTCACCAATGTATATTTGTAATCTAGTGGTTCGGCTACCGGACTTGTAATCGTGAGGTAGCGGTTTTTGGGGAGTTTGAGCCTCAGGTCTGACGTTGTGTCCTTGGAAAAGGCTTTTTACACGAATTTTCCTCACTTCGCCCAGATAAAAATGGGTACCCTGCCTTACACAGCGAAAGATCTTGTCATTATGTTAGTTTTATCACCTATAAAAATTGAATGGAGTTTGCACTGTATGCTTCCCAGGAAGTTGAGATTGTTTCAGAATGCTCTCAGGTCTGCTGTGGTAATAATATAGATTGTTTGTAAAGGCATCGAAATTGCCATTGAGCAGGAATTTGCGCTATGCAAATGCTATCTATTATATTTTTATCATCCTTCACATTTTAGTCAGTCCAGCAATGCCCTTCTAGCACTTGCCCACATATCATTGTTGATTTCACTCAGGCTTCCTGTTCTGGAGACAATCTTGTATTTTTTTAAACATGTAATGCGAAAAGGTAAGACTTCTAACTCCAAAAAAATGTACGGTACATCGTGAGCAAATTACATCTTCAGAATTTCTCTTGGTCAGATGTGATGGCTTCCAAACATCCACCCTTGATTGTGCAAAGCAGTGTTTAATATAGTATAACACGGACAGGTCGAACACAGAAGACTCGAAACCACGCATCCATCGAACTGTGCCTGCAGTCCCATTTCTTTTCCTTCTTTATCTTTGTAAGATATCCCTTGAACTACGGACTCCCCAACTACAGAGGCCAGTCCTGATGAATTCACGATATCTGTATTATGCTGTATTGATATTGTTATGTGTTTTCTGTATTGCAGGATCCTTCTCCCTAGCCTCAGTGGCATTTCATCCCAGAGTGTTGGAGGAATACGGACGAAATGCCAAGAATCCTGCGGATGGTGATACGCTTATCCAGCTGGCCCTTGACTATATTGAGGCTGAACAAAAGGTGAAAGTTGCAAGGACCTACACCATTCTACCTGAAGACACTCCCTACAAGGGTGACTTAGAATTTGTGCAGCTCAGCTTGTCAAAGCGGTTACGCAAACAGGACGACCAGTTTGATCATGACATGAGTGAGTTGGAAAAAACATTTGGCCCCATGGCTGAAGGAGAGAAAGATACTCTTATGGCAAAGCTGTCGAATCTTACTGTTTCAGAAAATAAGAAGCACAATGGAAATGTTAACTCAAACAGAGAAGCGAATGGTTTTCCATCGATTCAGATTACAAATACGCCAAAGCAGCCCTCTAAAAAAGGCCTTATTGAAGAGATAGGGGGCAGCAGCTACAGTGCAGAAAATGGAAAGAAGTACCCGACACCAAAGTACAACTTGGAACCTTGTGAGCTGGACACTGGCCGCTGCCTGGAGCTGAGGGTGGAGCTGCCCGGTGTGATGTCTGTCGCCGAGTGTGAGCTGGATATCTCTGAGGTTAGAACCATTTTTTAGGCTTCCTGGTGAAATCAGGCGAACGACAAACTAATGAAATCAAAGAAATCGGCATCTAACTTTCTTTTTTGCTCAACACCTTTTATTTCCATTTCAAAACTAATTTTTGCGTGGATTTTACTGAAAAACATTGATTAAAGGCACAAAAAATATAGGCTTTCCTTTTACAAGGACTCTCGGGCTATGGAAGTTACCAAACTTTGACGGCCATTTTCTCGCTAATTTTACCCCTGAAACCAGGCCACTCTGACCTCCTTCAGTCGCAAATCTTCCAACCTCTATTCAACATAGATGGATACTTTTTTCACAAGAAGGAAGGCAAATGAACAGGCTTTATGATGATACCGATAATCCCATATGCCTAAACATTGACGAGCGCCTGATTCCACCACGTCGTGACATGTTTTGTTCTAAATACAGTAATCTTTTTTCTAAAAGCTCAATGTGTTGAAGTACATCATCGGCCAGCTTTTAAAATATACTAGGCCCAAAATTTGAAAGTTTTTCTTTTTTTTCATTTTCATAACCTATGATATGGGTTGCATGTGCTCAAGAAATGTTTTGACGAAATTCAAATTCTAAAAATGTTGAAAAAAAGCACACAAAAAATACATCACAATTGTTAAAAGAACAAAACAGTTATTTTCTCTCTACTGTAAAAGTTTGCTTTCCGAGAAGAGTACATTTTAAGAGCTCACAGACAACATGCTTTTCAAATGCCTGTTGTTGCTATGTAACTGAATGTTTATTTCATCAAGTTCCTAGATATGGCTTGCATGTATGTGAATGTGCATTCACTTTTGCTGAACTAAATACTGGTGTTATCATGCCAACAGTGCAGCGTTAAAAAAAGCAGGATAGAACGAAAACCTCACAAAAGCCTAGCCTTTGACCATTTATTGTGTAAAAGGATAAAAGAATTGTCTAGCCGTAGAGGTAGGTATAATTGCATGGGTGTAATGCCTCTAGCAACACTATTAGGTTTATGAAGAGACGGGAACTTCGAATTTAATATCCATACATCTTCAATGGGACCAAACTGAATGGGCTGAAGGCCTCGAAAACTCCACAAAATGACCCGCCTTCAAGGAGTCCAGCACGATAACAAGTGAAATAATGGAGCACCCTTGTCTAGGCATGTAAATATGCAATATCATTGGCTTAAGATTTGGTGAAAACCATTTCTCCTCTTTTCTTTCGCACCCTCTGCTCAAACAAACAAACACTCACGAACAAAGAGAAAAAGAGATTAAGAATGTTTTTGCACCCCGCTATAACCTCCTGAATGACCTGATCTTTAGGACTCCTAGTGTGAGGGTGTCCATGAAAGGACTTTGAACCAGTGACTGCTTGGCATCTGTGAAAGAAAACAATTCTGCAGCACAAAATAGTAAAGAAATCTGCATTAGAAAAAAAATAAATAAATAAATACACACTTAAATCTTGTATACTTGATGAATTAGATTAATTATTATACTCAGGGGAAGTGATATTAAGCCAACAAACAAAGGATAAAATATAAAAACAGTATGATAATATCATGATTTTTATACCAAAAGATCCAGCACTTCCTTAGAAAAGTGTGCCTCACAATTCTGTTAAACAATTATAAAGATGTCAAACACCTGACGTGTTTGGAAATTCAAACCTGGGTCATCTGCTCTGTAGCCTAGCATGATAGCAGTTGGGATGGGAAGTTTTTTCCACTGATCAAAAGGGAAGGGGAATGTAGTTTTTCTCAATGCTGATTATTTGGCGATAAAAAAGTTTTGTTTATTTAGAAAATGTGGAAATTTTCATCATATTTTGAAAAATGAAATGTAAGTGGCTCTTTTCTCCAATCTCGACTCAAGATCTGCTTCATCTTGCCATGTCACAGGCCGCTTGAAATTGTTCACAGCGATACCATGACCTTAAAATAGTTTTAACAGTAAAACAGCATTTTGAAACTCCATGCTCAAATGGCAGCTCGGAAAAATATTTGTCATTTATTTATGTTTTTCAGAAGGAGTCAAATACAGTGTGCTTTGTTTGAATCATCAGTTATTATTTTTTTTTCTTGCAATTTTTTTAAATTCATAATTATTTATTACTTTCGAAAAAATGTTTGCACTTAAGTTTATTGATATTATTATTGTCAGTATGATATAAACTTTGCAGATTTTTTACTCACAACTGTATACATTCAAGGTGTAGGTTTAGAAATATTTTATAGAGAGAAGATTTTGCTGCCCTCATTTCTTCATTGCTTTTTTCTTCAGTACTCGTTGCACTGAAGTGCTCAAACAGAATGTAGTTTTTTATGGACTTTGGTATTTTCCCCAGGATGACGTTCAGCTCATTGTGCCAGACCAATATGAGCTCAAGGTCAAACTGCCCAGTTGTATCGATGACGATGCAGCACAGGCGAAATTCCGCAAGAAGACGTCAGTGTTAACAGTGATTATGCCGGTAAAAACGTGACCCAGGACAATGATAGAATTTATAGTTATCATGTCTGTGATTTAGTACCCAGTGCTCAGTGAGGGATTAGTTCTCTGATTCAAACTGATCGCCCGACTCACGGCCTTGAAAACAAATGCGTTTGTTTTTGAGGATCACTGCCGACTTCGTTCGGTTTGCACCACGATGGTCTCTTTTTGCCCTCAATCTGGCTAGCCCCGCCTACCAAACTGAACTGATCTTGCCAATGGGCACTGGGTATAAGAGAGAATGTGATTTTGTCAGACTGTGAACCAAGAGTGTCTTGAAAATAATGAGAGTGTTATACAGTGCTGTTCTGTTTGGAGAAATGGACGATTAAAATTTCATGCTTTTATATCGAAATTTATTTTATACGACTTTTTCTTTTAGTGTTCAATATGCTTTGTTAAAACATTAATATGAAATTCCTGATAACACTAAAGGATTTCAACCCCCCCCCCCCTTTTCTCCACCCCTCCCCCCCCCCCCTTTTATTCTATGCATTGCAACTCCATGCATTAACATGAAATCTGTATGAAGTTTGCATTATCTGTGTTTTACTGTACCACACTTTTACAAACGTTTACCGGTCTATTAGACACATTAAGTCAAGTCGGCTCCGAATATGGAAGAAGGAGATGGAAGAGAAGTCATATATATTACAGTAAATCTCATATGTCCTTATATTATCATCGATACCCATGCTCATTATTCCTACATAATTGAGAGGTTGCACCTCTTGCTGATGATCCAACCTCCTCCCTCAAAAATTAAGTCTGAGGTAGGCCTACATAATAATAATATGCTAGTTAAATCCCCCATTTCACCATCAGTGGTGTAGGGGTTACACGCTTCACTGTCGCATGCAGGAGACACAAGTTTGAATCCTGAGTGGGGAGAAATTTATAGAGTATCTTGGTCTTTTTTCTGCTGGGGTGTTGTTTTCAAGTCAGCCCAGGTTGGGCCTGACAAGCAGGGTCCTATGATCTAAACTGTCTCGATGAAGGCGTAAAAACACCTGTGGTACATCAGAAAAAAATAAAATTCTTCATTTCAATCGTGCACTGAGTGCAAAAGTAAAAATACATTCTTTATCCTTATTCAGGCTCTAAGTTCAAAACTCCAAATAAATACTTTGTTTTGCATCCTTTATTAAGGGCAAAAGACTGACACATCCCTCATTTTGATTGGTAGGTTGAGTGCAAAAACATGGATAGATGTCTTATACTAAATCATCCACTCCAGAAGTAAAGATATTATCCTCGTCAAGCTCTGCATATGTACTGAGCTGAGAAATTAATTTGTGAGACATCCTGGGGAAATCAAGCATTCTGTTAAAATAATTAAATCAAAGTCATCTGTATTTATCAGCTGCTTTTTGCAATTTTTATTGAATTCTTGCTTTTTTGGCTCTACACCTTTTATGTCCATTTAAAAACACATTTTCTGTGTTGATTTTTCCTAAGAACGTTGATTATAATTATAGCCAAAAAACATGTAAATTTTCAATTTTCAAGGACACTCAAGCTTTGGAAGCCACCATACTTTGGTGACTACATTAGGAGCCTGATATAACGGGGATGGTGGGACCAGAAAAAAATTCCTGTTATATCCGATTCTTGCTAAATCAGAAATGCAAGGGAAGTAACCATTTGTGGACTAATCCAGCTGTATTTATTCATGGGTAGTTTCCCTTGCCACAAGTACCCACGAACAGGGGTTTTGCTTGTGCACATGACTCATTACCCGTGCGAGTAAAAGTCTGCAGCACACCACAGGCCTCTCTCGTTTCACCCGCTGCGTGTACTTGCAGTGGTGTGGCTTGCGTGGGCTTGATCCCTCACTGCGTTACTCTCTCTCTCTCTCTCTCTCTCTCTCTCTCTCTCTCTCTCTCTCTCTCTCTCTCTCTCTCTCTCTCTCTCCACATTGTTAAAATGCCTTTGTCCCTGCTATAGCCGATTGGGCTCCGATGGGGCCCTGTTATTGCCGATAACTTTTAATAGAGACTAAGAGTAGGAAAAAATAAAAATTTCTGTATGTGCCGGATCCCTGTTGTTATTACCGGGCCTGTTACATATGGTTTCCAATTTTCTCGCTAATTTTACATCTGACACCAGGCGACGCTAACTCTTTCAATCAGAAATATCTCGACTTCTGTTCAAGATAGCTGGGCATTTTGTTTTTCACCAAAAGAAAGGCAAATGAAAATGTTTTAAGAATATACTATTAATAACTCCTTATACCCAAAGAATTTGAACACAGCTAGACGATCTGGACTTTTCAGATGACTTGGCACTTTTGTCACACCTTCAGGAACAGATGAAAGCAAAGACAACAATTTTAAACAGCCTATCAGAGTTTGTTGGATTGAGGATTCTCCCCGAAAAGTCAAAAGTCCTAAGGGTAGATGCACTACGAAAGAAGCAGGTCACAGTAGAGGGAAATGCATTAGAGAAATGTCGAATCCTTCTGATCTCTTGGGAGTATAATTGACAGACAGAGAGGAACAGGCGTTGAAATGAAATCCCACTTTGGAAAGGCACAGACTGCATTAATTTCTTTGAATAGGATTTGGGGGACCAGAGATATCTCACTACGGACAAGGTTGAGAATTTTCTACTCTAATGTGAATTCAGTCTTGATGTGAGACGTGGAACGCTTCTCAGACGTGTATAAAGAGGATCCAGGTTCTCTTAAACAAGTGTCTGAGGAAGCTACTGAGGATCAGATGGACAGGCACGATCACCAACTAGGGAGTGTTAAGAAGAATGAGACAGAGCCCAGTCAGAGATGATGTGTGAAGAAGGAGTTGGCGATGGATTGGACACATTTTCAGGAAGTCGAGCTGCTGCATAACTAGGAAAGTGTTTGATTGGAACCCACAGAGTAAAAGATCAAGGGGAAGGCCACGTGGAACCTGGAGAAGAGTCACGGAAAAGGATGTACAGAAAAGTGGGAAGACATGAAGTGACATCAAGCGACTAGCCCAGGATAGGGAAAGGTGGAAAGTGTTTGTTCGTGGCCTATATCATGACCCACGGTGAGAAAGCCAAAGATGAAAGAATTGACTAGCACCTGGTTCCACAGAGGAGAGACACAATTTTACAAGAGATAAAACGATTTGTTTCATCCTTTTAACAATATAATACCAACATGAGTTCACGGGAAAAAATGGTCACAAACTGAAAATCGTGAGGGTATCAATTTTTGAACGCTTGTTGACTCATAATTACATTTCTGTTGAACTGTTGGTTGATTATTGTTGTTAGATTTCCCATTCAACCAACATAGCAATAAACCACCAATCAAACAGATGTGAAGCTATGAGTCCACAAGCTTTTAAAATTGACACCCTTACAATTTCCAGTTTGTGACTAGGCCTATGCCCATTTGCCCCGTGGACTCCTCATATTGTTATTTTTTCTTGCTTTGATTTCTGAACATCTGTATATAATATTCGAATGTCACAGAATATTTCTTGAGCACCTGCAACCGATACCTTAAATTAAGAATCTGCAAAGCAAAAAAAACTCTTACAATTTTAGGTTTAATACATTTTAATAACTGGGCTATGATGTGGAAGGCATCATTGTGAAATTAGACGCTCATCAAAACAGTGTAATGAAATCTGAAGAGAAGAGCCTTTTTCGGCCTGTTTCCCATTTATTATCGAATGTTTGGTTTTTGGCCAGCAACCTTTTATGTCCATTTAAAAACACATTACTGTGTGGCTTTTAATGAAAAATGTTGATTAAAAAGGAAGACCCTTGTCGGCGATCCCACAGAATATCGATAAAATTTTTCAAACTGTCGATTGTTTGTTTTTTTGCGGTAAAACATCCTATGACATCTGTTCTATCGGGTCACTATGACGAAACAGTTAAAACAACACCCTAAATGACCTAAAAAGGCGTTTGAAAAGTGCATTTTGCACTAAAAATCTTTTTTTTAATTCCTGTTTTTTCGGTTTTCTCAGAGTCTGCATTTTGACAAATATGGGATCTTCTTGGTGCAAGGAGCTTTCAAAAACTGCTGAAGCCAGAAGCTTCAAATTTGGCATACAGGTGCGTTCAGATCTCTTCTGTGGATCTGTGTCTGTCCCAGTCGTTTTATGCAAGAAAAAATTCTGAAATTATGCAAACTGAGCCCAAAAATGTGAAATTATGCGATTCTGTTAATTTTGACAAAGAATGACAAAGGACTAAAATCAGAAATTATTATGCAAAAAATGATCAAATTTTGCTATATTATGTGGGGTGCATTAAACCACGGGGACAGCTATGTGAGGAAATTTGGAAATATTGATAACTTGTGGAAATATTCACATTTTTGGTAACATGTCCAAAATTTCGCCAACTGACTCTCGGGCGGGGGCCCTTTGACTTTGGGCTCACTTTTTTTATTTCTAAAGATATGTCAAAATCCTTACTTAGATCCCCAGTCCATAGGTTTTTCACTGTGTGCCAAATTTGTAGTTTCAATATTTTCAATTAAATTCTTCCGCACTAAGAAACTGGTTCGAAAATCCAAGATGGCTGCCACCGAGACCAATTTTTTCAGAAAAAAAAATTCACCCTTAGTACATCCTATTTACTTATGAATTTCTTGCACAATTACATGAAAGTGAATAAAAGTCATTCGTTTAGAAAAATTTTCCGGGAGTGTACGTCTCCCCATGTAATTTTACAGTTTCCAACAACTCTCAAGCTTTGGAAGTCATAAATCTTTGATGGCTATTCTCTCTCTCTCTTATTTTACCTCTGAAACCATGTGACCCCCAACTCCTTCAATCCAAAATATCTTGACTTTTATTGAAGACAGATAGATAATTTCTTTCATCGACAGCAAGACAAAAAAACAAGCTTTAAGATGATACCAATAACTGCATATATATGCCCAAAAATTGGCGAGTGCCTGATTCCATCGCACCCTGACACATGTCTTTCTTTCTAGACCATGCACTATGAGAGCTGACAAGTTTGTGTGGATGAGATTTTTAATTTGTACAGTTTTGCATGCCCATAACGAAATTGACAGGAAGCAAAAATCTTTTCGTTTTATTACATGTAATATGTGTACGAATTTGACTGTGCATTATTTTAATAAAAGATTTATAGGTTGCACAGTACCGGTACAAAATGAATTTGGGACCGGGAAATCTGTCCATGATGTGTAAGTTTTGCTATACTGTATCTGGAACTCACTCTGCTTGGCTATTGGCACTACCTTATAAATTTATGTATGTCTGTGTATGTCATGGCCTAGTGTTGAGCACATCAGGGACTGTCTTAGCTTATGGACGATGACCTGGTTCATGGACAGACCAGCTGTTTTTTGTTCTGTTTTTGGTGTGTTTAACATGG